GGTCCCGGTCAAGTTAATCCTCGTCGCAGGTTTAGATAAGATCTTAATCCTCGTCGCAGGTTTAGATAAGGACTTAATCCTCGTCGCAGTCTCCGACGTGATTTGCAAGGCCCGACGTGATTTGTAAGCTCCGACGCGTTTGTAAGCTCCGACGCGTTTGTAAGCTCCGACGCGTTTGTAAGCCCGACGCATTTGTAAGCCCCGACGCATTTTAAGTCCGACGCAGTCTAAAGCACCGACGCAGTTATAAGACGGCCGAGAGCAATAAGACGACATCGGCAGCTGTGTTATATCGTCAACGTACAGTAATTTTGTCGGGATGAAAAAAACACGTTTGCGGCCGTAAACTACACTTAAGCCCACACACACATATTAAGACACACAGACATGCATTAACACATAGGGAGAGAGAGAGATTATTGTTCGGAACAAGAAGGGCGGACGGCACGCGGTATGACTGTTCGCGGTATGACTGTTCGCGGTATGTATTTTAGGTCTGGCATTGTCCCACTTTCGAACAAGAGTAGGGACATGCCCCCGTGTGATCCAAATCTTACTGCCGGAGTTGATGATTCACTTAGAATCTCCCAGACAGAGGCTTGGCGAATCCCTGTCTGTCTCGTATCCATTGCACGGTATGGTAATTCACATTGATGGAGGCCTGGCGCACCTCGTCTAGTATAAGCCAACGGAACGGTATATCACTCTTTTCACTCGTAAGGGGCAGTAACCCAGGCCATATACGGCAACAATGATGTATGTCTAACGTACTGAGGAAATTCCCCCCGTTCATGACGGGTAATATTAACCTTATGCGTTTTTCATCTTCTCAGCTTTGGTCTGTTACTGTGGGAGATGTGGTACGGAACCTACGCATTCAAGAACCTTGACTCCACCGATGACTTCGCCTTCGTGGAAAAGATCAAGGAGGGCACCCGCCCTGACCTGACCGGTCGCACGGCGCCCTCTAGCGACTGGGCAGCCTTGATGCAGGAATGCTGGGACGGCGACCCCAACAGAAGGCCTGCCGCCCCTACCATAGCTGACAGGCTTCTGGACTTCAAACATCCAGGGACGTAGACTGATCAAAACGGACACATATCACCCGCAAAGTGATGAGATATCGATGAATGAAAAGCAAGCGTTGCTGTCTGTTCGCGCGTTATATTTATATTATTCAAGTGAAATAATTTCATACATTTCTTAATGGCGTCAATCCAGGCCTGGGAGTAATACTTAAGAAGCCTTAGAAACCTGGAGCTGATGACAAAGCAAAACGGCCTCTCACCCCCCCCCCCACCTGTGTAGCGCAAGAAAGTACACATGGTAAATATGATACCATACTTGATTGGGATTTGTTTTCTGCACAAGACACTAAAAACAACTGCAATACACAGAGTTTTGTAAATAAAATAAAATCTGAAGATTGAGATTAAAGTTTTACAGTTCATACCCAACGCCATAATAGTCTATTCTCACGTGTCATGTACTAGCGTGCCTATCATAGAACTATCTAACGACGGCGGAATTCGAACATGGCTCATATAGGGAACAAGGTGAAAGGGAATGGATTAAAACAAATGTTTGTAAAAACCTTACTGAAATTCTGGACATATAATGCCAATGTATCTGACAGATCCTTCGAGCGTTATGCGCCATGGCCCACCTTAATCCCTACCCCGCTCTTAACAGTACTTACGTCGGTAAACATATTCTTTAGGCAAAAGATCAGAGCAGTAATAGTATATTGTGGCACCTGTAAGTTCTGAAGTGACATGACATGAACTACGTGTATGAAACTCGCTTTAGCGGCTAGTGTGGAATGAGTGCGTTGTGGGTATCAGTGATAAAAATGACAGCAGAGCAATAATTATAGTTTCCATACATTCCCGCCGGCCGTCGGTGTACAGGATATAATCTGCATGTAATGTGGCCCAAGTAACCAGTAAAGCCCACCTTGTCTCGTATTCTCCTGGCTATCCAGGCATAGTCTTATGAAGCCCGGCCCTTTAGGCGGGGATTAACCTCTTCTAACCAAGTACACATTACCCGAAGGTTCTATCCCTTCGTCAGCATTAAGGCCCTGTCATACTTTGCCGAAAATATGGCCTCCTGATTGCCAACCTTCCCGCAACCATGGATTGGTTGGGGACACAAGGTCGACTGTGTTTGGCTGGTGGTCGGAGAGGTTGGATTCTGGTCGCCTGCGGCCGGAGGTGGGATGGTCGGGAATGGCTGGGAGTAGTTTGGAGAGCATTCGGGACTTTGTTGGGAGTACGTAATGTATTGGTTATGAAATCGTCCTGAAATGGTTGTGACATAGTCGTCGCGAAGGATAAATATGTCCTAAATCTAGTCAGACTGCTCCTAACCTATCGCAAACCTTGGTTGGTTGATGGTCGTGGACATGGTCGGGGGAAGGTTCTGAATGTGTGACCGGAATGTGTGACCGGAATGTGTGACCGGACTTCGGATCGTAGCTACTGTGCATCGTCCTTGTAAATACAATACAACGGCCTGTGTTTGGGGTTAGGAAAAAGTCAGTGATACTTGGGCCATTTAAACACTGTTTATTGTTAGGTTGCTGGGGACATTACAACACCAAGTACTGCCTGTCTGTCATCTTAGAAGAGCCGTGTGAATAGTGTTGAGTTTCACCTTGTACCGGAAAACAATTGACTTTGTTTTCTTAATCTCATAATGCACGTGCACGTCAAAGGTAAGCTATACGCTGATCCTAATTGTATGGCGAATTCGAAGCGGTCACATAAGCCGCCATAAAACCCCTGCCGACTGGCGTCTAGTTTAACAGTTTGTTAAAGGATCATGTGAAACACAGCGGCAGGCGTTTTGGCAGAAAGCTGTAAAAGCATATTTTTAGTTAACCAGTAAGTCTTTTCACTTGGTTGCTTCAAATCGTTATGGAGATCCCATAATGTCAACTGCCAGAGGAATTGACTGAACAGATTGTCACTGTGGTATGAAGACGTCATCATCTCAAGGCAGGTAATGTTGAAAATGCGCAGCGTCAGGACATTGCTGATCTTAGGAATAATTCTGTTAATTTGCACGGATCTTACATCATCTTGGCGTAGACGTAGGTGCAACTGGCATTGGAACGGATGGGGAGCCTGTGACGCGTCTTGTGGGAACGCTGGCATACAGACCCGCACGGCTAGCGGCTGTGGAGCGCCGGGACCACAGACTCGGCCCTGCAACCGGTTCTGCAACAACGGCGGAACACCACTCTCGTACTCGTGCGTATGTCCGAATGGATTCTGGGGCCCTTGCTGTGAAAACGGTGAGTCGGGTTGTTCAAATATTGTCGACTGCAGTACTGTCTGAGCCGGATTGCAAATACTGACTTGTCGAACTCAGTATCATAGGGAGGAGGTTAGAAGCAAAAATGGTATTGGGGCTCTTTTGCGGGCATTTATATACACTGTATGCATATCCTCGACAACGTTACGTAACTTATTAACGAACGTGGGTCTAATCTTGCTTAACCCAGTGTGTAGCCTTACTCGGCTTGCTGTTTTTGTGATGCATAAATGGCATTAGTGTCATAAATGTACATTGTGTTTCTGAGTTTTCATGCAGTGTCGTACAGCCTGTTTTGATATCAAATATCAGGTGTCTGTTATCAACGTATAAAAACAAGTGTTTGTAGGCACCATGTGTTTCTTTAAGGCACCAAGTGTTTTTAGGCGTTTGATATGTAGGCTTTCGTGAACAAAATTGACTGTGCTACGTGTATATCTTATTGTCAAACTGTCAGCATAGGGCTTTTCTGGAAAGAAAAGGGCCTTTAGACGTTTCTTCAGACAAAAAAAGGTGTGTCACTTAAGTTCAAGGTATTGTTCTCTTGGTTGTGAAACATGCATGTTTCCCTCCAGTTAAGGTCTGTCAGCCTGAGGTGGATTGTGACTTGGAGTGTATACATGGCTTCACTACTGATGAGCACGGCTGTGAGGAGTGCAGATGTAAGACCTCTGAACAAGGTACATAGTAGATTGCACAAAGGCATCGTCTAAACTTCATTCATTGTAGAGTAATATCTTTACTCCATAAATGCGCTTCTAACACTTCTTAAACCACCAAAACATGAACAATATACAGTTTCAAGTCTTGTAGCGTACGGTATACTTGATAGAAGAATGACCGAGAAGCATGACCGAAGATCCTAGCAGAAATAGGCAAGTAGGACAATTCATAACAGCAAACCACCTTAAAAACCTTAGCCCTTTAACAAGATGAACAGTTATAAGTGTTATATCATGCACGTCCACTCCCCAATGACCTAAATGACTCTGTGGTAACAGATGTGAACGAGTGCACTGTCAACAGAGGCGGATGTGAACACGACTGTGTGGACACAGAGGAAGGCTACAACTGTACCTGCCGGGATGGCTACAGTTTGTCGGGGACACGGCATTGTGTTTGTATGTACATTGTATACTTATATACATCATTTCATTGAGGTTTTGTTTCATCATAAAGTAGATAGCGATGCCTTACCCCTGCGTAACCCATTCAGGTCGATTAACATGTTTGTCGTGTGATACTATGTGTGTATGTGTGTGTGTGTGTGTGTGTGTGTGTGTGTGTGTGTGGTTAGGGGGGGGGGCATCTATAACTGATGTTACTTGTAAACGAAATGAATAAACACTGTGGTCGTCTATTGGGATGACAGTGGATAATAACCTGTTACGATGGAGGCTGACATGTATATTTGGCGACAAATACAATCTACCCTTTCACAAACAAATCAGATATGCTTGCAACTCAAGCAGTAGTTGATATGACTTGAAATGACAAGAGGTATGAAAACTGTGAAAGCAGGGGTTCAAGCAACTAGCATGCTCTGGACAGTTTAGTTTAAAAGCAAAATCATTGAGGAAAAATTCTATACTCCAAAGCGGACACAGATGTCGACGAATGTGCTACAAGTAATGGTGGGTGCCAGCAGACCTGTATCAACACCGAGGGGAGTTTTTACTGCTCCTGCCAAGAGGGATACTCTCTGGACTTCGACGGTACTACATGCCAGGGTAAGTCTGGGCTGTATGGAAAATATTTGTTCACACCCACTTGAAATCAAAACACAGTGTGCAATCTGAATATGATTTTGAACGTATAAATTTTTGTTATTTCACGTGAATCCGATCGGTACCATCCTGTTACCACCATGTCTCCGATGGTATACAGTTTAAGGATTTGTGGTCAATCCCGACAAATCTGTGATTGGTATTCTCACTAAATGGTGAGATAATCACTGCATTTTCCATGGCAATATTAAATATGTCAAGAATTGCAGTTTTTAGAACAGCTTCTATAATGGTAAGACCTGTCAAAAACAATTACTGTTTTGCAGTATTTTTCCCGTTTCTTGCTGATGACCGACCATCTTTTCTAACCCTGACACAGACGTAAACGAGTGCCAGTCATTCGAATGGCGAGACTGCCATCACTGCACCAACACTCCTGGTTCCTCCAACTGTACCTGCAAGGACAGACACAGACTGGTAGATGGAAAAGAATGCCGTGGTAAGTTTCAAGTTTAATTTTCTTTTTTGACGTGTAATTTTGTTGTGCATTTGAAGATAAGAGAAGTGTTAAGGAGTATTTTGATCAACAAAAAAAATCGAAATTTCTGTTTTTCATTCGATGCAATCGTTAATCTTTGCTTTCCATTCAAAGTTTACTCACTTGTCTCACCTCGCACTTCCGCCTTCCTGTTATTGCCCCTCCTCAGATGATGATCTGTACCCATACGGAATAGAAGTTGGCAGACTGCCCTTTTCCCAGCAAGGACACAATTGCAGGCAGCTGACGTTACCGATTGAAGGATTTCGATTCTTCGGGCGACGACATTATCATATCTACGTACGTTAAGAGATGATTGATTAGTTATAACCAAAAGAGTTTATATACGTGTTGTGAATGTCAGACCAAAAGGAGTTGTCCTGTCATAAACCGTCAAATTGAGTTGTTGTGTTTTGCGTAATTCCTTTAGTTTATCGTCAATGGTTAACTGCAATATCTAATTCTTTCCTGACAGATCTGTGACAACGGGATCGTGTCGTTTGACCGGATTCAGCGGCCACAATGGCCAGTCAAACTTACAAGTTACCAGTGGCGGTACCAGGCAGTAATCGCGCCATTTCTCGCGAGATCTCGCCCGCACGCGGGTTCGAAAATTTTCTACGAGCTCTACTCAAAGTACGACCAGAACCCTCACACTCTGGGCGTCCTTCTTCGGGCACGTGAGGATGGCAGGTCTGTGAGAGGGTTTTACCTCCCAGGTACGTTTTGTTACTGACATATCGCCCAATCGTTACGAGTCGAACATGAAATGATAATTCACCCATACTGACAATCCTCCTCCAACGTTCTCACCGATTGTACCGTTTATTACATTTCTCCTTTCTTTTTTGGTAGTTCATCAGTTTCAGAAGATTATGTATTTGTTTAGATTAAAAATGCGGCTCCTTAACAACCATCGCTGTTAGTGCACACACCGTGATTCGTGAAAATAATTGCCTTTTTCCTTACCCATACAGATTATGACCCAGTGTGGGCCCTTGTGGTGACATGGACCGACATCGTCCCAGACAACAGTGTCTGCCCGAGAGGAGATTGTCCCGCCGGCACCACATTGCCTGTCAGTCTGCAATACATGTATTTTCCAGTTATTTCCATTGCATAATATATTCTCTATGTAGACTCCCATGTGTTTTGCTGTTATGTCATCTGCATGATATGTATAATCTATTTAGACTCCCATATATTTCAGATTAGCTGAGAAATTGGGCTCCAAATATTGACCATGTGCTCGGGATTTTATGCATAGCTGCTGATGCTACTGTTAATGTTGAGCACGGCTGAATGTAAATCATCTTTTATATTTTCTAGCAATTATTTGTATGAAAAATCCACTGTTTCGTCAAAAAATTAACTGAGCTAGATTTCATCTATAAGCAAAGACTGATTCATAATTTACGTTTCAGAGAAACACTTTCCAGTTAGTACTGTCAACAGACGGAACACACTCGTTTGCTCACTTCATCTACCCCTCTAAGAAGATTGAATGGGCCAGTCCAGGTAAAAAAAACAATTAACACAATCTATGACATTATAATTTTTTACCAGTAATACATCACACTACTTTTCAAATGTAGTTGTACTTTATGCGCAGTTCCAACATTATAGTATTCTAAATTGCCTCACGCATCATTACACATGAAAGTAAATAAGATGTCCAAAGTAGATGTCCAACGTTTCAAAATCATATCCAGTTGCTTGTTGTGAGCAACTGTTTTTGGCATCTAAGATTCACCGCTTTCAAAAACCTATTTGGTAAATATCCCGTCATAAATCCATCATCTGTTTGTTAATTTACCATTTTCCTCTAGATGAGATATTGGGTCAAACCAGTCACCCGAACGCGATTGCAGTGGCCGGATACAACGCCGGTCAGGGCTGGTGGTTCAACTACGCGAAGGACATGGAATACTCCGGCACCATGAAAATGAAGTGGGCCTGGCTGAAATACGGGGGTAACTGTCCAAATTACCATCATATAGAATTCTTACATTTTCATTGTTGTATCCAGTTAGGTGTACATTGACTAACTTATTAATTAATTAATTCATTCATTCATCCATTTATTTCGTTCGTTCATCCATATTTCTTTCAGGTTAACTTGTATTTCATGGCTTCTTTAAATTAAGGTTTCACTCATCTAAATCTGTATTTTAGCTGGTACAACCATTCGGCATATCACACAGCGACAATTGATTATGTTACGCGTATATCAATCGACCTGTCACACATATCCTTCGGACAATGCCATCTACGGGTAAGTATCGGCATTCTATAAAGGTACCTATTGAGGATGCCCCTACTGTATTTGGTGACAACAATTTCGACTCTACGATAGTTCTAAGGAAAGCAACACGTTTTGACCACTTCGATCCTTATAACTTGGTACTCATATTTATATCATAGCTTATAGTACTCATGTCCTTAATATTGAACAGAAATTCACTCATTGGTTACCATTAAGTATCCAATGCAAGTGATTTACTCTAGATATACGTTTTAACTGCCAACAGGTCATTGGAGCTATCCCCTACAGGAACAGAGCGACCTGTACGTACCCCAGCCGTCGGTGCTCCGGTGTGCTGCATGGGTCAGAAGGCAAGAAGAGGACGTGGGGTTAGAGTGGTTTCTAAAACACATGTACCACAGACTGGAAAGTACATATTCGTGCCCCTGCACGGCAGAGCAAGCTTTCTACGACAACACGTAAGTTTTATCAACTACCTTCCTGTAGATTCCTGCTCAAAATGTATCATATGAATGAGATATGAACACTGTCTTTACACTTTATTGTTGCATATACATGGAGAATACAAATTCATTTTTAACAGTTTTAACACTGTGTCAATACTCAGACACAAATTGAACGACTACAAAACGATGATATAAACTACAGGTACAGATACAGCGTTACCGGAACGGGATCTTGCGCAGAAAGTAGGAGACGGCTGACGTTCCACTACGGCGGGAAACGGTACTCCTTCCGCCGGACGTGCTGCTACAGTCCTGCGTTTTTCTGGTGGGAAAGACGTGTGGGCTGGCGCGGATGGTGGTGGCGGCGGGCGCGGGTGATTCTCCGGCGACGGAGGGTCGGTGGAGGGCGACTACTGGGGGGATCGATAGGAGGGCATTTGCTGCTGGTAAGGATTACACAGCACTCAAGGCATTTGTGCTCTTATGTCAATGGCATATGTCAACTTGCCATTCAAAACCATCAATTCTTTATGTTGTCAAACCAAAACAAACCAAGCTAAACTTAGATTATCATTTGGTTCACAGAACGACCGCTTGGAAGACGAAGAGGCACGCCACCAGTGCTGCGTCGAGTCGGGACGTGTGAGAAATGGCTGGTACTGTCAGAGGTTCTCCCAACTCCGGCCGTGGTCAGTGCCCCAGTCCTGGGGGACCGGGAGTCCTTGTCGGAACTATCCCATTCGTATAGGTGTGTATGTAGGGTACAACACACGCCAAGGTTTATACTACAGCATAAGAGTGTTTATAGAATGAGATTGGTATTTTCTATGTAAAAAGACACCATCTACAAATAAGAATACACACATTACGAAGTGGGGATTTTTTATTCAATGTCAAACGTGGCAAATGTAACATATTTAGATCATTAGCATTTGAAAATTGAGTAATGCGTCATTGGCTTCATTCATTTCGTTCATCCTGTTACTTGTAATGAGCCTATGAGTTTACAAAATAAAATGTTCTCATATTGTATTGCTATGCTCCCAGCTTGGATCCGCAGGGTTCGCCGGCGGACCCGGTTTTGGGGAGACCCTCACATCTCCACACTGGACGGCGTGCGGTACACGTTCAACGGGCTGGGCGAGTTCGTACTGGTGGATGTGGACGATGGTGAATACCAGGTGCAGGGAAGGACTTGCTTCGCCAAAGGTACGCTCAATTGTAACGTTGAGCCAAATCATATGTAACTGTTAGTTCACAACATACTGTCAAAAATGTGACGGTTTGAGGAAACGGTTGGGTGGGCTGATGGGGTGCATGCCTTTCAAGGCTACTCTGTCTTGGCCCAAAAGGGGGTGTATGGCGGCTTTGTCTCTAACTATCTTTGGTCTTTTCCCCTCCCCTTGTGCACAGGAAGCAGTCGAGCAACCATCTTCTGTGCCATCACTGCTGCCCAGAGGAACCACACCGGAATCCAGGTCAACCTGGAAGGGGACTCTGGTGCTGACCTCTATATCAACAACACTGCCGTGAACATATCGCCGTTTGAAGATGACGATTTTGAGTTAGAAGTCGACGGAAGTGCGCTGGTGACCCGACCGTCCAACAACTCCATACTCATCGTGTTCTTCAGCGGGATTACTCTGAAAGTTACCGCCAATAAGGTAGCAGTTTTTCACTTACATGTATTTGTACTTACCTTTGGCTTTGCAAAATATGAAGTTATTTGTGGATTCTTGTGAAGTTTGCTATGTGGGCAGGTGTCAACAAAATGATACTAGTACGTTTGAACATGCAACATGTTACCTCAGTGTCTTTCTATGGTACTGCAGCAGTTTTCATATCTCAGGTTCTGAACATATAGTCACGGTTTTTTTAATGACAGGTAGCTTACGGGATTGGAAATGAGTTGTATTGTTTTGGGCGCCCTAGTGGCTGTTCTTGGAATTCGTTTATGTCCTAAACTTTGGATAGCAGACGCTATACTTCACTCACTTTTCGATACAACATCATTTTCTTTTATAGGCGATGCTCTTCGTTGAGTTTTCGGCGCCGATGGAGTATATGAACAAGACGCGAGGCCTGCTGGGAAGGTGGGACGGTGACACGTCCAACGACTTTGAATTCTCTAACGGAACCGTGCTGCATCCCAACTCATCCGAGAGCCAGGTCTTTGAGATGGGAAACTCATGTGAGTTTACTGTTGATTATTATCATCAGAAATTCAGAACCAAAAGTAAAGATTGAAACACAGGATGACAAAACACACCTTTCGCTTCATATCATCAGTCAATAATATACGTATTATTGTAGGTTCAAATTTCATCACGTTGGTAGGTTATTGTAAAAGGGTTTTTAGTGCACGTATCAAATCCATATATTCTTACCGTCAACAATACAGGGCTGGTGACAGACGATGATGGCCCGATGAAGTCCATTTTCCACTACAAACCTGGTGAAAGCTTCAGCAACTTTACGTCTGCGGGTTTCATTCCGAAATTCACTGACGAAGTGACCTTCAGTGACCCCGATCTCGAGGAGCATGCGCGTGACGTCTGTGGTAACGACACGTCTTGTCTGTTTGACGTCGCCGAGACAGGAGACATCGAGGTCGGGAGGGCGGAGACGGAGGATGAGCAGAACTTCGAAGACGAAATGTCCATTCAAAGTAAGGCCTTACTACTATTTTGCAACCATGCCTCACAATGTTTGGGAAAGAGTAGCTAGTATTGCAAAGATTATAATGTACGTATGCGGTTCTTGTATAGATCAGGAGATGATTAGCATGATTGATGAGAAAATTCTATAAATTGATTGATTGACGTTTTCAAAATCATATCCAGTTGCTTGAGTAACTGCTTTTTGGCGTATCGCATTACCTGGATGTCTAACCTTCATCGACGTGATTGATTGATGATTAGCATGATTGATGAGAAAATTCTATAAATCTACTCCATTCTATGAATGGACGCTCAAATATGTGACATCTGTAACGAAATTGAGAGAAGGCACATTGATAGATATGTAAATAAATTTCTCATGGATAGTATTTATGGGAAAACACTTATTTGCGCAATCAATGAGAAAACTTTCTAACACCTCAGACGTAAAGGTTAGCATGAAAGATCAATATCATTTAGCAAATGAGGTCGTGGAACTCTAGTTTGTTACCTCCATGAAATGTGTCATGGAGGTTATATTTTCAGTTGCGTTTATCTGTCCGTCCGTCCGTCCGTCCGTCCGTCTGTCTGTTGGTCAACAAGATAACTCAAGAACGCCTGGATGGATTGGTTTCATACTTGGTGTGTTGGTAGGGTGTGACGAAAACTGGAAATGATGAGATTTTGGTCCCCCTAGTGGC